CTGTCTCTTATACACATCTAGATGTGTATAAGAGACAGGGGGTTATGAGAGGAACGTGCTTACTGTGAGTGGGATAGGGTGTGTGTGTGTGTTTGAGAGAGAGAGAGAGAGAGAGAGAGAGAGAGAGAGAGAGAGAGAGAGAGAGAGAGAGAGAGAGAGTTTGTACTGATGCCTGGCAGCCAAAGCAGCCAAAGCTTGAAGAAGACAATCTCTTGTATATAAGAGTTGACTTGCAGAGACTATTTTTGGGTTCACTTCTGATGTATGCTTCATGTGCGCTCTACCTGGTGCGAGAATCCTGTGAAGTGTGTGATGCATGTTTAGTTCAAAATAATTATTTTATTAAAATTGTTATTTTAAAAAAGGAATATTATTATAAAAAAGGAACTAGCAGCTGTACCTGAGTGTAACGACGTGTGGTCGCTGGTGCAGGTTGCCCATCGCACGGCGGATGGGACCCCAATTGCAGCGATGGCATGGGGGGGGTACGATATCAATGCAAGGGGTCATCCAACCTCCAATTACAGGCTGGCCACGTCTGGCCGGGGAACAGTTCGTGTGTGGTAGGTGATGCTCAAAACATGTCATATTTTGATTTTGAAGTAATAATTATATCGTAATAATACTATGCACCCCCCACACATGAAAGTTGATGAAACTGAATTGATAAGATGATGGAGGAGGAGAGAAGAAGATGGGTGAGAGAATGATGATATTTTGAATACTTTCATTCTGATGGTCTTGGCTATCTTGCACTGTCAAACTCAAAGGAAGACAATGCCGTTCAGTTGCAACTGACATGAAAGAAGAAGAAGAAGAAGAAGAAGAAGTAGTAGAAGAAGAAGAAGAAGACAACTCCCTCTCAATTTGCCACCTTCTTTTTGTTTTTGTTTTTGTTCTCGCCACCTTCTTCATCACTACACTATTTGGCCCCCGGTGACCAGCAGCCGATCTGGGCCCTCGGATTCCTTTGGGCGCGATGGTCCAGATTGGCTGCTGATCGTTTTCCATGTCATGAACATGCAATCTGGACCGTTGTCGGCGTTGTAGCGCACGATCCAGATTGCCTGTTGATCGTCTTGGAGACGATCGCTGGGCCGGTAAGCCCTGGCCCGGTAGCTCCACGTGCGGCACCCCCCAGGCCAATATCTGAACAGTACACATGCTGGGGTGATGTAACAAAGTTTTTTCTGCAAGGCGGCGCTACGAAGAAAAGAGCCCCTAATTGTCTCACTCAACCTCGACACTCGACACTACTGTAAGCTATCTGTCCTAGTCGGCTACACTCAACGTCAACGCTGGCTATACTCGACTTCGACCTACTGCGCTCGACTTCGACTCTCTACATCGAAGCTACTCTAGGTTACTACGCTCAACTTTGCTACCATCTCTCTCTCTCTCTCTCTCTCTCTCTCTCTCTCTCTCTCTCTCTCTCTCTCTCTCTCTCTCTCTCTCTCTCTCTCTTTCTTTCTCTCTTTTGAGTGCACGCGCGCTGATATCTCAAGGCAAATGCCGGATCAAACAAACCGGGAAACGACAATGTAGGCTGCCTCGAGCACCGGAGTGGCCACCCCTGGACGCCCCTGGGGGTCGGCAGGGGTCGACAACTCTGGAAGTCATCACCATGGAAAGTGCTACCTACAAGACACCAAGTAAGCCAGAACTCTCACTCTCTCCCCGTATGCCAGATCTCATCTCCAACCTTCTGTCCGTACTGTCTCAGTGTCTCTCACCTACAGCTATGGAGGGAGCGCCCTCCCCTACTCTACAGGCATCCTCCTGTCAGCTATGACTGCCTCGCCTTCTCGCTCTCCTTCTGCCTGGTGCAAGGTAGTCGCCTCCACTGTGGGAGCTCCTGCATCAACTCCCCTATACCTTCTTCCGCCGAGTACAATGTACGGTTATTATAGCAGCTGTCTTTAGACTGAAAGATACCCCAAATTCAGCCATAATGACCGTACGTTGTATTTGGGGGAAGAAGGTAGGCAGAATGAATGACCGAACTGAGGTAGGACCTGCTTTTGTAGTGTTGACTCGGCCTCACTCAGGTTGCCTCCCGGAACAGCTGAGACTTTCTTTATGCGTGCGGCCGCGATCTGGTTGCGGCCTGTGTGTGCTTGGTCCAAGCAAGCCGAGAGGTTTTCTGGCAAGTGTACTGAGCCCTTGGATTGTGTGTGTGATCTGTGGTCGAGTTTGACTTCTGGGGAATCTTTGACTCTCCGGCAACTGTGCCCAAGTTGAGCCTGACTTTTGAAAATTCTTTTGGACCTGGTCCCAGTCGAACCATCTTAGACTGGGCTAGTGTATGATGGTCCATTAATTGGGCCAATTGACTGGACCATCATAGGTCTGAGTGACTGAACCTGGACCATCTTAGGTTCCCTCGCGCTCCGCTCGGACCAACTTTTTGGACCTAGTCCCAGTTAGACCATCTTAGACTGGGCCAGTCTATGATGGTCCAAAAACTGCTCCAATTGACGGGACCATCTTGTGTCCGAGTGACTGGACCAGGGCCATCTTAGCTTGCGTCTTGGTGCACTTGGATCACTTTTTAGACCTGGTCCCAGCTGGACCATATCAGATTGGCCCCCTCATTCTTACAAAAAAAACAGGAATCCACCAGTGCTACCACTGGGGGCTCTGCAAATCTGCCCACGTCATCTCGTTCCATCTTGTGGTTAAGATCGCATCGCCCTAAACCCTAAACCCTAAACGCTTATCCCTAAAACCTGAACCGTAAACACATCCTTGAACCCTGAACCCTAAACCCTAAACACTTATCCTTGAACCCTAAACCCTAAACCCTAAACACCTATCCTTGAACCCTAAACCCTAAACCCTAAAAACTTATCCTTGAACACTAGACCCTAAACCCTAAACACTTATCCTTTAACCCTAAACACTTATCCTTTAACCCTAAGCCCTAAACCCTAAACACTTATCCTTGAACTGTAAACCCGAAACCCAATTCTTAAAACCCTAAGCCCCAAAGTCAGACCCTGATCCCTAAACCCTAAACGCTTAACCATTAACTCCGAAAAAGGGGTTGGGAATGTTGGGACTCCTTTTCTTTTTCGGAATGAAGAATTTAGTATCGACGACTTCAGTGGGGCGCCTGTTCTGACGGTTCCGTGAACAAACCTTCTGTGTTCCGTCTGGTCCCATCGTGTCCACGATTCTCAGGATCCTCGACCCGCTCCAAGGAAAGCTATCGAGCACAGATTGCCAAGCGGGCGGTGTGATTCGAGAGTACACCTCGCTTGCATTTTCACACAACGGACGGTATATCTTCTCTGGCACCCAGTCCGGCGATATAGGGACGTTTAGCTTGACCACTTTTGCATTGCAGGCGACTTTTGGGGTTTGTGCGGCAGGAGTTACGGCTCTCATTGTCGCATCTGGAGGGGAACTGATTGCCGGTGGAGGCGATGGAAGCGTCACAATCATTCGTCCAGAGGTGCACCGAGATGGTGACGTCAAAAACGATCCAAGGGCTCACGTTAAGGGGGAGGTGTGCATGTTGTCGGCGCCAAAGCCACTTGCCAGAGAAGATGGATCAGCTGCGAATCATGCGGACGGGGATGGCCAAGGCAAGGGTGATAATAAGGACCCTTCAGAGGAGGAAGCTCGTTCTCAGAGGGGAGGTCCCTGTGAGGAGAGGCCATGCCAATTCATCGCCGCGGCAACTAAGGAAGGATTTGTGTACAAGATAAGGAGGGAGGATATGAAAATAACAACGCTGATGGAGAATCATATAGCGGAAATTAACGAAGGGGGATTTCCTCCCGGCTGCTGTGATCGAGCCGTCACGTATGTCCTCCGAGGCTCTTTGAACACCTGTTCGTATGCACACCTTACTCCATTCTTTCTTCCTTTCTTTTTGTAATATCTCCTCCCTCTGTTCGAGAGGTGATAACCTCCGGTATGTTCCTGTCCAAAATGACTTGATCCCTGAGCTGATTATCACTTCTACCCTTATATTGAGCCTTCTCTTATCCTCTCTTTTGCCTTCATCTTCACTCCACACTCCATACTTTCCCTTTATCGTTCTTTGTTTGTCTGCTCTCCATCTCTCCTCCCTGTGTTTATCCCCTCCCACTTCACTCTGCCTCTTTCTCACAGTGTACAGGTGGGCTGTTATGACACACGGGGATGGGGGCAGCTCGCGCTCAACTTCATCAACGTGGCGAGCCTTGTACGTGAGAGGCATGGTGAAGGGGGAGTTAAAAGAAGAATGAGAAAACTGAATGGTTTCAGTGTGCCCTTCATGTTTGTCTTGTTTTTTAATTTGTTATTTTTGCCTTCTGTTTCGCAAATTGCGCTCTTTTAGTGCATAGTTATGTGACAATATATATGTACCAGTACTCTCTCTCTCTCTCTCTCTCTCTCTCTCTCTCTCTCTCTCTCTCTCTCTCTCTCTCTCTCTCTCTCTCTCTCTCTCTCTCTCTCTCCAAGTGTCACTCATGGTGCTTTTGTTGACTTGCTTCTATTTTTTTTTTTCCCGTGCTCGGGTCAACCCAACAGAGCACCTACTACGGTCTTGAATGTCAGCTACGGCTGCCATCTGCTGCGGGACAATCGTTGCAATTATTTTGCGTGATGCGTCACATCTGATCTATCGCCTAGAGGAACAGGTAATGTGGAGAAGCCTGCTCCTATACACATATTGTGTGAAGGATCTGTTGTGTTTGACAGGCCACCATGATCGGCGGCTCTACTTAAAGTATCTGCTGCAGATGAGGGAATGTTCCCCAACCTTCAGCCACAAGCTAAATTGAGCAGGAGAGAAGAGACGGAGAATAAGAATAGCAGGGAGGAGGACTGGATTATAGCCTCCATGAGTCAAGGACTGGACTATAGCCTCCATGAGTCAATGGGTGGGAGCCCTGCAACCGTACTAGAGTGAGAATGCTCTCAAAGAATGAAATAGATGAACTGTACTGGTGCGCTGTGCACTTTTGTTGGATTCAGCACAGGTGTAAGTCAAATCATTCAAAAAAATAAAAATAAAAAAAATCATACTATAAAATGGGTCGAAGTCATATCATACTCACTCAAAAAGAGTTCTGCTAATCAAAACGTAGAATAAAGTCTGATAAACAAGGCGAACAGTCGTACTCAGGACAAAATCTACTTGTGTGTGCATTGAAATTTGGGTTGCCGCAACTTGCCGGTGACCAGCAAACGGACTGTTGGCCTCCAGAACAGAAGGGGCATGTGCAAGGAAATGAGCGATAGCGAACTTCAGAAACCAAGCAGCATCATACGCATGAGACCGGGTAGTCGTGACCTCGAACCAAAAGCAGAATTGCAACACGAGTTCCACCGAATAAGAGCACAGCAAAAGCTCATAAGTGACAATGTTGGAATAGTCTCATCATCATCATCAACAAAGAACAAATGTCGACATCCTATCTGGCGCTCTGCGCCCAGACTACAAATGGCAGATCCAATCTAGCCTATCTACAATGCCGCTGGTGACGTCAACAGCTCCCCGAAGTACGAGCAGATCTTGGCCAATGTCGTTCGCCTCAAGTACCAGGTATGTCTCTCGTATCACTCACAACCTCGATCCCCCACTCACAAATGCCACGTGCACCCAAGAACCACCATGCGCCCCATCCAGCCTACAGCAGCGCAGCTCCGCTATGGCTGCCTGCTCCTTCCAGCTTGCCCGTGAGCGCGTGAGCGCTGGCCAGCGTATAGCGCAGCAGTGCTTGCGCAGCATGCAGCCAGTGCCCAAATGCCCAACTGCCCGAAGCCTGTGTTTAGTCCATATTGCGTATCTGGCCCAGGGCCTGCCTCAGTTACATTCGATAAAGGCAGCCTGGGCCTGGGCGCTCTTAACCAACTGGCGCTGCCTGAATTTCCCCAGTTGCGTGATGACCCCAAAATGGCCTGTAGGCCTCGGTCGAGCCTGCCTTCACTTAGGGCGGCCGACTGTGCTGAAAATAGGGCCCAGTAGGGCGTATTGAGGCCTTGTGCCTCGCACATGTTGATTAACCCAAAAAAAAAAAAAAAAAAAAAAAGGCGAATCAGAAAATAAAAGAAAAAATAACGAACTCAGAAAATAGTAAAACAAAACTAATGCGAGGCACAAGACCTCGATGGGCCCTATTTGCAACAGCGTCGGCCACCCTAAGTGAAGGCAGGCCCGACAGACCCTAAGAGGCCTATTTTGGACTACTTCGCAACTGGGGAAAATTCAGGCAGTTGCGCAGCGCAAGTTGGTTGGAAGCGCCCAGGCCCTGGCCTCCTTTATCAAATGCATCTGAGTCAGGCCCTGGGCGAGATTCGCAGCATAGGCCCAACTCAATCTGGAGCAGTTGGGCACAGGTTACTGTCGGTGGGCCTGGGCCGATTCATTTGGTCTGAGACTCAGCCTCCCTGGGCCTACCGGAAGCTTCTGGGCAGAGGCCCAGCAGAGCCAGGCTGCACGCATGCAGGCTGGCCATTTCCATATAGGTAAGGGCCAGCCCCTGCTAGGACATTCGGGCACTGGCTGCTTTGTGCGCAAGCGCTGCTGCGCTATAGCCTGCCAGGCTCACGCGCTCACGGGCGAGCTGGAAGGAGCAGGCAGCCATAGCCGAGCTGCGCTGCTGTATGCTGGATGGGGCGCATGGTGGTCCTTGGGTGCATGTGGCATCTGTGAGTTGRGGAACGAGGTTGTGAGTGATACGAGAGACATACCTGGTGCTTGAAGCGTGCGGCATTGTCCGAGATCTGCTCATACTTCAGGGAGCTGTTGACATCATCAGCGGCATTGTAGTCTAGGCTAGATAGGATCTGCCATTCGTAGTCTGGGCGCCGAAAGCCAGATAGGATATCGACATTGGTTCTTCGTTGATGATGATGAGACTATTCCAGCATTGTCAATTATGAGCTTCTGCTGTGTTCTTATTTGGTGAATGCAATCAGACTCGTTTTCAATCACACTTTTCATACATGCAAACAGTAGTGCAGCAACCTGGCGACATGCGCCCGCTCAAAACTCAGAGATATGGAAACCCAGATACGAGTTCACTTTCAATGACTATGGCGACTCAGCGTCCAAACAACTCACTGTTCGCTTACACCGGATCACCCTGGATATCCCACACGCGACTCTCGGAACACTCACATACACACACACACTGAATACTAACTACAGCTATGGTGGCTATGGCCACCTCTACCCTATTGCTATGCTACGCTCCTTCTCTCTCGCCCACTTCAGCTCCGGGCTCACTGCAGACCTCCTTGCACAAGTCGCTGTGGCAACGCTTCTGCATGGCTCACGCAGGAATGAATGAATGGCTGGGAGCTGCCTCTTGATTTATACTTCTGAAACTCGTTGGTCTGCCCTCTTCCGTCGGCCCCTGGTGCTCACAGTCCCTCGTGGTACTTGCTGGACTGGACTGTGACTGACTGGACCTTACCGCTGACTGAATGGGGACTCACTGCTATCCTACTGCTATTGTACTGCGAACGTGCTGCGGTTAGTCCACCACTTGCCCACTTGCCCACTTGCTCGACCTTCTAGAAGGACTACAGCTAAGACTTCTAGACTTCGCTAAGACTTCTATTCGACAGACCTACAGATCGAACCCCTGCTACCTACCGACCCTACGACAGTCTACTAACTGTTACAAATACACAGGTCGTGGGTTCAAGCCTTGGGGTCGACACAGATACTGTACACCGGTAGGGTAACGGCTAGGGATCGAGCCCTGGGGTCTGCATCTGCTACTGCAAAAGGTGAAAACCGTTTCACTCCCGCCGTCCTAAATTCGAGGTCCTCCGAGAATATCTTAGTCCAAGGCAGGACCTTTACCCTTTCTATCACGCTCATAGGCTCTGACTATGTCGGGAGYTGTTTCYAGAAGTTCTGTTCTAGTAAACCAGCGGTCGTCCTCCGGTTCCTGATAGGCAAACCGGACCTTATACTGTTTCTGTGGACGACCTCTACCTCCTGTCCTAGACACATCTTCATCTACAATGCCGTCAATGTCATATCTGCCATCCATATCCGGAGGGATCATGGCTCTTCTTGAAGGGAACTGTTGACTGGTGACACACGGCAACAACTTTGAAGCATGAAACACCGGGTAGGTGTGGAGGTGAGCTGGAATTTCTATAGTGTAGGACGGTCCATCCTCTCCGCCCTTGACTTCTAGAACCGGCCACGGTCCTCCTTATGCAGGCAGTAACTTCCGCGAGATGTTCTCCTCAGGTGCAAATTCTTTGGACTTGACCCAGACCAGGTCGCCTACCTGAAACTGCGATGGGCGACGGTGCTTATTAGCCTGTTCTATCATGCGGTGTTGGGCCTTTGTGAAGTTTTCAACAACAATTGCTAGCTCTCTCTCGTGCTGTATCGCGAACTCCCTGGTTCCGGGCGGTAGCCTGTGAATCTGATCCCGGGTAAGTCCCTCAAACGGTCTGCGGGGTCTAAAGGACTTGTGCAATTCGTTGGGAGTGCGACAGGTAGACAAATGCACGTTGTTATTGTATGCGCTTGCTACCTTGGGCAACATCTCATCCCAATTGATTTGATCCGGTCTAATATACATGCGCAGAACTTACTGCAGGATCTTGTTCATCTGTTATGTCTGACCGTTAGTCTTTGGATGACGTTCAGATGACATTAACAACTTTGACCCATAGACTTTCATCAGTTCCTGCCAGTTCTGGCTGGTGAAGCGGGTGTCTCTTTCACTAACAATAGACAAAGGAACTCCGTGATCGCTAATCCAATGATCGAAAAACTTCTGAATAACTAATTTCGTACATGCCTCTGCAGGCAAAGGAACAAAAACTGCAGATTTACTGAATCTATCAACTATGACCATGACTTGGCTCTTGCCGTGTCTACTCTTGACACCGACATCCATAAAGTCAATGGAGACTGAATCTCCAGGTTGGTCTGGGATAGGCAAGGGTCCGAGAAGAACTAGAGGGGCATGCGCAGTGGTCTTATTCCTCTGGCAATGCGAACATATTCTATGCAGTCAGCTTTCATTCCAGGCCAGGTGTAGCACACATGAGATTGGCTAACGTCTTCTGCGAACCGAAGTGTCCCTCTGTATCATGGCACTCCCCTAGGATCAGACTACGAATCTCCTCACTGTTGGGGATGCACAGGCGGCCTGCTACATTAGTCTTCTCAAACAATAGTCCTTCAGTAGTGCGGTAGTCAAGTTCGGTCTCTGGGGCCTCCTTAACTCTCTTGAGGAGGTCGCTATAGATAGGGTCCTACGCATATGCCTGGCTAACTTTCTCTTGCAGGTCCTTCCCTATGTCCGGATAGTGTATTATAGCTCCAAAGTAATCTGATCTCCTACTCAGAGCATCCGCAACTACATTGTACTTGCCTTTGACCGGTCTTATCTCAAAGTCATACTGGTCTATCTCGGCGGACCACCTAGTTAGCTTAGGTGTCATCTTGGCCTGGGTCTTTAACCATCTAAGAGTTTTGTGGTCGGAGTATACTTTGAAGTGCCTCCCAAGCAGGTCATGCTTCCAGCGTTCTAAGGCCTGCCTGAGAGCATAGAGTTCCCTCTCGTACTTCGAGGTGGCAACCTTCTCTGAGGGCATCCTCGCTGACATGAACTCTAGGGGTCTGTAGCCATTGTCGTCGTCTTGCTGTAACACGACGCCTATACCATACTGACTTGCATCCGTGGTGACGACAAAAGGCAAAGACGGATCAGCTACTTTGAGGACAGGGTACTCGATCAGTGCGCGCTTTAACTTCTTTAGCGCAGACGTACAGTCTTTGTCCCATTGCCAGATTGCTTCTTTCTTTAGCAACCTGCGCAAGGGAGCGGCGATAGTGGAGAAGTTAGCTTCTCTCAACTTCTCCAAGACTTGCCTTAAATGACCCTGGTGTGCTTGGAGGGTCCTGCTGAAAACTAATATATCATCTAGGTAAACTACTACAAACTTATCTAACCAAGGTCTAAACAAATCATTCATACAACGCTGAAAGGTGGCTGCCGCGTTGGTTAGTCCAAAGGGCATCACTATGAACTCATAATGCCCATATCTAGTCCGGAACGCAGTCTTGTACTGGTCATCAGGATGGACCTCTATCTGATGATATCCGGACTTCAAATCTAAGAGAAGTACTTACAACCCTGCACCCGATCTAGAAGATCGTCTATCCTGGGCAGCGGTTCAACATTCTTCACAGTAATCGCATTCAAACCCCTATAGTCTATACACATACGAAGCTCTCCTTCTTTCTTGGGGACAAACAGGACTGGTCCTCCAAAAGGAGACGAACTGGGCCTGATCCAACCTTTCTTGAGGAGCTTGTCTAACTGCTTGCGTAGCTCCTCTAACTCTCTAGGGGACATCCTGTAGACTGCTCCCTTAGGAGTCCTACTGCCAGGCTTTATCTCTATTCTGTGTTGGATGGGTCGCGGCACTACTCCTGTCGGCGACTCAGTCAAATCTTTGAATTCCTCCAGCAGCTTGGCAATGGTTGGGTCCGTGGAACTATCTCCTTCCTTAGCCTCAGTGACAGGCCTCACATACACTACGAAGACCTGATCCTCTAACTGCTCCTTTTTCACTAGTCGCGCGAACGCGGGAGCACTGAGACAGCAATGTGCCAGGGTGTTATGTACACCTAACACATGAAACAGGCGGGCAGTCTTAACCTCGCCTGACGGGCTAGGGAGCCTACACTCATGCTCTCTTAAGTGGAGTGTGGCCCCTGCTGCCTCTCCCCAATCCATTCCTAATACTATATCAAAAGGAAGGTCGTCATGAACGAGGAGAGTCAGGGAATGGAGAACTTCCTCCACCTTCCCATCTTTCTCTAGGCGAAAGTACGCCTGGACTCCCTCTACGTAGTCCTCAACTCGCAGTGTGCGGTTGTCTGCGAGGACACTGACTATGGGGTCTGCCAACTTTTGGACTTTTAATCCAAGCCTCAGCTTCTTCAGCGCCCTACAGCTAATGTAACTGCGGGTGGCCCCTGAGTCTATAAGGGCCCTTACTCTGCTTCTAAGCACTTCTACATCTACCAAGATCAGTTGTCCCTTACTCTCCTTCTTCATTTTGGCCCAAGCTGGCATCCTGTCCTTCAGCTCTTCTGCCACACCTGTGAGGGACGTACCTAGAGAGACGCTAACACAAGCAGTTTCTGGACAGCTAGCTAGGCACGGGCCTCCAACCTCTGCCATAGGCTCATGTGGTTTGGGAGTTTCCTATGTGCGCGCGCTCGCTTCCCCACATGGCCTTAAAGTAGGGGCAGTTGCGACCCCTACTGGCGGCTTCCTTTTGACTGTTGAGCAGCCCATCGGGCCTGTCTGTACTTAGGACAAAATTTAATTACATGGGCCGGGTCACCACAGAATACGCACTGACCCCGGTCCACGCGTTCCTGCCATACGCGTCGGTCCAAGCCCAAATCCTCCCAAGGCCTACCTTGTGGCAAGCCTGGGTGCCATCCTCCTGTCTGTTGAGGTGGCCTTCCTCCTCGTCGTTGTGGGGACCGACAAGAACCCTGACGATTCGGTTGGGGACCTTGACCCCTACCTCCCACTTGGCGGTTCCCTTGTCCGCCAACCCCCTGTGCGCCGGGTCCTCGGCCTCCCATGGCCTGGCCCCTTTGGCCCTGGCCTCCTCCTCTACCTTGCGGCCTCCCTCCAGCCGCGACAACCGCATAAGACCTCCCCTGCCCTACGCTGCTGTCATCCTCCTCTAACCCCCACTCAATCTCACTGTAGGGGACTTCATCTGTACCACCTTCTTCTAAAGTAAGGATCATGTGATCCTTGGCCCTGACTTGGCCAGAGATGGTACGACCCTTCCACTTATTTTCCTTATCCAAGTCCTTGTGCCAGAAAGTGGACACTGGCATGGACTTTGACTCGAACAGGACCACCTCTCTACTTAGCACATCATAGGTGATGTCGGCCTGTTGAGATCTGTCAAAGAAATGCCCACGCAGGGGCTCTGGCATGGCACGATAAAATAATTGGACCAACTGGGGCTCAGTGACCCCATGGTCTGGGACGGCTACCAAGTCGTCCATGACGCCCTTGAGTGCCCTTGCACTCCTCCACTGTCGTGAGTGGATGGTCTGTAACTTATCAGAGGCTCTAACGCCTCTCGTTGGGTCAGCAAATCTCTCTCGCAGGAGTTTGAAAAACTGAGGGAGGGTGGTGATCTTAGAGTATGCAACCAGGTTGTTTTCACAACCGGCTGCGCGCGCAAGGGATCTGGCAAAACTGGCCGCTTCATCTTTGAGGGTCTGGAAAGCGACGAGGACTTGTTCCTCAATCAGGATGTGCTGTAAGTAAATGTAACTGTTTACGCTCGCCTCCCAGTTATCAAAATTCTCCTCCTTCTTCCCGCCATATGCGTATGGGAACTTAAGCTTGACTAGCTCTTTACGAGGCCTGGCCTCGCCCTCTATAGCGGCTATTGCTTTGGCACCCTCGATGGCGCCCTCGCAGAACTTCCCCACGCTGTCTCTCAGCCGCCTAACTTTGCCTCCAACGTGGGTTACCATATCGCGCGCAAAGTCTCTAAATCCTGACCGCATGGCACTCAGGGCTACATCTTGACCCCAACTAGCTTGGCGCTCCTCCATCCAAGCTGCACTCAACACTTCTAAATATCCCAGCATCTTGTCCATTTTGGCAGACATGTTTGCTTGCGCCTGCACCTCCTGTCTACAGTCTTTCACCTTGGACACTTCTGCGGTCAACCTGTTAACTTCGTCCATCCTTCTTTTCTTTTCCCTCTTCATCCTCAATTTCCACTCCAACTTTTTCTCCTCCTCTCTTTCTTGTCGTTCCAGAGGGTCCTCGATTGTCGCTAGCTCCTGGGCTAACGCATCCTTCTCATCCTGTGGCACATAGAACTGTGCCTCCTCATCTTCCCCCAATGATAAATTAGCAATCCACTCACTGATTTTCTTCTCCATTGCGGTGTCCTCATTCGCCGTGCCACTACTGTCTCCTTTTACTTCCCTGTGTTTCCTCTCCTCTTCTGCTTCTGCTGCCGCTTCTTCTTCAGCAGCCTTCTTCTTTTTCTCCATCTCCTCCTCCAATTCCTTCATCTTCGCCGCCTGCTCCTCTGCGATTGCCTTTAACTTCGCCTGTTTCAGGAGCTCTTTCCTTTCCTTATTCTCTCTTGCTAAGGCGGCCATCTTCTCTTGTTGTTCCTGGGTATAGGGGCTAGTGCTCTTCCCACTCCGGGTGTCAACCATGGTGATAAGTGCACAACCGGATTAGCGGTTCCAAACCTTACCACTTAGACTCTAACCCCTGACTGACAAACCTATAGACTCAATCTAAAGACTCGCAGAATCCGGACAGGGATCCTGTCAACTAGGGTCTCTAGCCTAGACCTACACTATGAGTGTCACTACTAGACCTGTTGCTGATCAAGAGGCATTTAAGGAGATCCCCCGTAACTCCTCAGGAATTATTTAACGTCGCAAACAGGACGACGCGATCAGCAGGTCTCTCAATACTTCGCAGCCCACACAACTCAGCCTTTCGGGCCTACCGTGCCACACCGAGCAGCCCGCCGGTCTGTACCGGCCCTTGGGAGGGTTAGGCCTCCGGGATAGTCGAGTCGTCAGACACGGTCTTTAACCCTACTAGGTCCGGTAGGGGTTTGGTCAACAAGGCATATCCTTCATCCACAGAGTACTATCACCTAGACAAAAGAGACTCGATGCAGAAAGAAGAGACAGACAGACTGGACTCAGCAAGTACCACAGGGTGTGTGCACATCCATAGGGCGAGGGGTAGGCTGAAGGCTTGGCGAGATTTTACCGGCTCCAGCTTGGTCGAAGTCTTGGTCAACGCCTTAGTCAACGCTCGGTCAACGCTCCGGTTAACCCCGGTCAACCCCGGTCAACCCCGGTCAACTCCGGTCAACTCCCGGTCAACGCCAGTCAACGCCGGTCAACGCCTCCGGTCAACTCCTCTAGTCGGCTGTGGCTGCCGGCTTCACTTTCCTTCACCAACCCTCTTTGTTCCCTTCACCTTCCTCGCCTCCTTTCACCCTGCTGTCTTCTTTCTCTCTCTCTTTTTTTTTTTTTTTTTTTGTCCGTCTCTCCTTCCTCCTCCTCGGCTGTGGCTTCCCTCTCTTTCCTCGGTCTTTCCTCTGTCTGGTCTCTCTCCCTCTTTCGTTACTCCGTGGTCAACTCCGCGGCTATGGCCTTCTTCTTCTTCTTCGTGGGACTGCGCAGAAACTTCACAGGTACGTAACAGCTAAACTTGTATCGCTCATCTCTCTCTCTCTCTCTCTCTCTCTCTCTCTCTCTCTCTCTCTCTCTCTCTCTCTCTCTCGCCGTAGCTATATCTCCAGCGCAGCAGGTACGTAGTAACCCAATCTTGTATC